AAAAAAAAAAAAAAAAAAAATCTTTGTTACTGAGAGTCTAAAGGGACATGGTTCATAGGGAAAGGACCATTAACACTTGAATTTTGCCGTATTTTTTGAAAAGGCTCTGGAATGAAAATACCTATGTCAATAAGGGTGCTGACCAAATTTCAGTACTTCAGCACCATCAAAGTGCTGTGAACATCTTGCTTGGAATTTCTCCATCCTATTTGGATTAAGGTTTAATTCAGTTTCTGCCAGGTTGCAAGATATAAGATCTAAGATCTAAAACCTGTTGCTGGTACAGGACTGTTCATTGCATTAGTGTAGTTAGATGGGGAAGTTTTACAAGAAAGTGGGGAATATTTTTCTGAAGATTATTATTTTTAAATTGAGGACACCTGTATGAAGTTACCTAGGAATTTGAAAATTTGAGTAAACCCTGGAAAAGATGAATTAGTAGGCAGGTAACAATCCTTGGTTCATAGCTATGCAATAAATTGCATTATTGTTTTCAGTCCTTGTTGGACCTGTTGCTGGCCACCAGCAGTGACCTGGTGAGGGGGCTGCAGTTGCTCGACCACCTGGGCGACAGCAAGGTGGCAAAGGCCTATAGAAAGGCAGCAGCCCTAGATTTCAGGAGGGTGGATTTCAGTGAGCTAAGGAGAATAGTCGGGGAAGCACTGAGGTCCCGGAGGGGAGGGGAATCAGGTGTCCAAGAAGAGTGGTCGCTCCTTAAGGAGACGATCCTCCAAGCCCAAAGGGAGGTAATCCCAACAAGGATCAAAGGAGGAAGAAGGGCACCAAAGCCCCCATGGCTCACCAAAAGCATCCAGGAATGTCTCCTAGCTAAAAGGGAGGTGTACACCCAATGGAAGGGAGGGGCCATCACCAGGGAGGATTATACTGTGGTTGCTCGGGGATGCAGGGGGGCAGTCAGGAAGGCCAAGGCGGAGATCAAACTGGGACTAGCTTTCCAGATCAAGGACACCAAGAAGTCCTTTTTTAAATATATAGGGGGCAAAAAGAAGGTACCGGGTAACGTGGGGCCCCTGCAGGACACGCCAGGAAATGTGGTCGTCACACCAGACGACAAAGCTAACATATTTAATGATTTCTTTGCCTTCATTTTCCTGAGCAAGTACCGGAATAGCCACCCCCCCCAGACCCCCCTTAGACCCCAGGGGAGGTGAACTTAGGCCAAGGGTTAGTGAGGAACTAGTTAGGGAACTTCTGGAGGGACTGGATGTATTTAAATCAGCTGATCCGGACGATCTCCACCCTAGAGTACTGAGGGAATTAGCTGAGGTCATTGCAGGACCTCTGGCACGGCTGTACGAGCGCTCGTGGTGCTCTGGTGTGGTGCCAGAGGACTGGAAGAGGGCCAA